GTTGGTTTCCGGTACTTAGTAGATAGAAGTCAATACACCAGAAAATAAAACGAAAATGGTGAAAAAAACGAAGTTTTTATGAATTAATTGTGCTCATGGCATTCTTCGTGAAGCCACGGCATTCGCCATGAGGCCACGACGTTCGCCGTGGAAACTAACTTGGCTTAGTCTTCACCCACTTCCCTACATTTTCTCTCATGGTTCCCACTCATTTGTCATCAATTTTTAAGCATCATAACACTATATATTACAAGTTTAACGTGGAATCCAATTTTTGTACAATTTTTATCTTTCATAATTTTAAGCAAAAATAACCATGGTAAAAGTAGTAGTTTTCTCCTATCGGGGAACTACTACACCATTAGTGCTTATGCTTATAATTTGTGTAACGCTTGGATCAAACAATCCTGCCGCTATTATTTGAAGTTTTTAATTAAGTTTTATATTCCATATTTTATCTTCAGGTTCATTTACTTTTAGACTTTTATTTTCCTACCTTTATTTTCTTGCTTTTAATTTCCACCATTTACTTTTATGCCTTATTTTTTTGCCATTGTTAATGTTTCAAGCGTTTACCTTTTTCTTCAAACATCATTTTTAATTATTTTAAACTGCTTATTATGTCTTTATTCAATTCAAAAACCAAAATTTGTTTATTTATTTCCGCAATCATGTTCGGCTAAATTTCTAATGTCCGGATGTGATGACCGACGTGACTCAGTAGATTCAAATTGGCATACCTTTTATAAATTGTTTTTCTGTTTTTAATTTTATATCTAAAAGGTTTTGTACGACAGTGAGAATATTAAGGTTTCAATTCAATAAAACGACAGTGCGAGGCTCGATCCAGATATTAAAAACTGGAGACTAATCCTAAACACAACGATAGAGCTTTAGGATTAATTAGGACTTATTAGTTTTCAAAAAGTATTACTTGAATCAAATAGGTGAGCGATGATAAAACGTTATGATCTAGAAGTATAGCTAGTGTAAATAGCACGACGGTGTGAGATAAATGTTTTTAAACTAATATTTTCTGCCGAAAAATATTTTAAAACCAAAACAAAACGCTATGAATTTTTTAAGTCTTAGAGGTGCAATTGGAAATTACATTACGATCTCACTTTTATTAGTTTTCTCCAAACCAACTTTATTTCTTATTTTATTTTCTTTTCTAAAAACTCCAAAAATATATCTGATAGCCTTATATTTACAAAGTAACAATAAACTATAATAGGTTTCACATTAGTTTTTATGAATTCAACACTTTTTATACTAACAAGTTCGTGCACTTGTAGATATGCATCAATTTTCATTTTGCATAGATGAGACATAATTTGTTAAATGTTGTTTCCATATCTATGCTCTTCAATTGATAGCCCTTTCTATCTTAGAAGCTTAAAAAATGGTTTAAAAATATTAAATTTTAATGGAAGTGGCTAGTAAGAAGCTTACACTTAGAAGCTGAAGGTGAGGTACTGGTAGAATTACAGGAACTAGAAGAATTGCTTGTTTCAATTCATCCTAAAGCTGAAACTGAAGATGGTTTGATATGGCATTTTGAGAATAAAAAAGAGTATCCGGTTAAGTCGTATTACGATCATATTCCTGTTGCTGGAAACTTTTCTTTGTTGGAAACGTCGATCCTTACCGCATTAGAGATCCTTTGGAAGACTTGCATTCCACTGAAGATTAAGATTTTTGCGTGGCGGTTGTTTCTTAACAGATTACCAACACGTAAGAATCTTGTTGATCGTGGCATAATAACTAATCAACATGAAAAGGCATGTGTTTTATGCTTTCATGAGCAAGAGGAATTATCACATCTTTTTTCCAGCTATCCTAAAGTAAAGTTGGTTTGGTTGAGGGTGTATAACTGGATTGGTATAGATTGGATCGACGAATCGATAAGTTGGGAACATGCTATGGTATGGTTTTTAAGGTTGAGTGGTAGGTGTAAGCCAGAAGTCGCAAATGCTATATGGTTCGTAACATACTAGTGTATTTGGAAGAATAGGAATAATATTATGTTTAATGATGAAATTTGTATCGTCGAGTCTATATTTCAATATATTCTTATTTTGTCTTGGAGGTGGTTACCTTTGTTGTCGAATTATCGACGTAGTTGTAGTTTGTATGATTGGACAAAATTCTATTAAAATATTTTATATGATTCTTGGGAAGGTCTTGGAGGTTTAAATTGTAGTTGTATTATTGGGGCAGAGATCCCCTTAATCTCCATTTAATACAATTCTTGTTTATAAAAAAAAATGATTATGTTACCATTTTAATAAATATATTAAAAGAAAAAAAATGCAACACATTGATCTGTTTAAGAGATAAAATATTTTATTGTTTGCAACCCAACCGTCTCTTTATACATAATAAGGGTCAGATAATGTCCTATTTGTTATATGTAAAGAGAAAAAAAAATATGGCTAAAACTCACATGTTTGTGTATGTTGTGGTTTTATTTCTCTTTCTATTTCTAGTTACAACAAATGATGGAGTCGGTAATTTATTTTCTCATAATTTTCAAATGACATAAAAAACTTTTTTTTTTTTGGATTCCATGATAAATCGTTCATTTATATAAGTTTCTTTGCGAAGGTTAACTCATGTGAATCCTAATTATTTGGTTTATACATTAGTGTTACTATCAATCCACTTGCATTTAATAAACACACATTAAATACAACATAATCAATCTCTCGAGTCTCTTCAATGACCCTAAAGTACGTTCTGAATGCCATAAAAGAATTATTTTTTTGGAACTAGAGAAGTACAAAGACTCAGTCTCAACCATAATTCCACTATTTTTCATTGTACTACAATCATCCTTTGATTTTGTATAAAAAGATATTGCAACCCAAAAATAAAATGGTGAATGGTAACTTTTTTTTAAAGGAAACGACATAATGTGGTGTTTCAATTTCAATTTTTTTTACCATTCATTATTATTTTTTACAATATAAGCCATTTGTTCCCACGTTGCTAAAACTCACCAAGAAAAAAAGCGGCTTAAAAATGAATACAAAATAGAACTATTGGTGTTATAATTCGAAGTGTGTCTGTGAGGTGCATTTCCTTATGGTTGTTAAAGATGGCGGAGGAAAAAGTAATTTAATTTTAATTTGAAAATAAAAATAAAAATAACATGTCACTTTTATAATGAATAAAACAAAAAATTGGAGGTACTGAGATTTGAAGTGTGCCCCTGAAAACCTTTCCCCATTGTTGGTTACATTGACAAATGATAAAAGAGACTTAAAAATTAAAATGAAAGAAATGCATCTAATGGAAAAGATTTTACCTTGGTGGATTAATTAACCGAGATAAAAAACCGTTAAGAAATGTACAATTTATTGTTGTGAATAAAATCACCCCTTATCATATCAAATATCAAGAAATATGAAATTTGAAATCTCAAGAAACCTCAAAAACATATATAGGAATCGAAAATTTGGAAGCCACACATTTTTCAAATACAATCATCCCAAATGCAAGTGAATGAAGTGCTTCATCAAACAAATCCATTAACTAACTAACACACACGCACACGCGCGCACATATACACACAACCATACAATTTTTTTTGAAATCTAATAATTTCCTAAAATAAAGTTATTAACATATAAAAAATTATACCATCGTTCATTTTGTGCATGATAATATTGCAACGTCGGTTTTGCATAATAATAATAATAATAATAATAATAATAATAATAATAATAATAATAATAACAATAATAACTCATAAAACAAACAATGGGAAGCTCACGAGGACGGGGATGGCTAAAGAAAACGGTGTCACCGCCGCCGAATCAGATTATTACTCAGACGACTCAGCTAGAACGTAGCCAGGACAACGACAAAACAAATGTGAAGCAACAGTCATAAGACATGGAAGCATAATTGGGTACGAAAGAACAGTCTGTAACGGGCGATAAAGGTAAAACCCTAGAATCAACAGACTCAACATATGCGCAAGAACCGAAGGAGCAACGCAAGCTTTGGGTTGATGTCTTGAATGACAATCGCAATCCAACTAAAGGCATGTCGATGAAATATGTCGCACCATCAATTATGGCGGGGGAGATTCAAATTGCTATTGAAGATGAGGATGTTGAAACAGAACTGAAATTTTGGGAAAATTCCTTGATCATATATGTGCTGGGAGGGGATCTCAGTATGAATACAGTGAAGAATTTTATGGAAAGAATGTGGAATTTCATCAAACTTCCTGATATACACTACCACGAGGAAGGATACTTCATCCTCAAATTTCATTCGCATACGGATATGGATATAGTGATGCTGAAAGGACCCTACACAATTCGAAATATGCCCATGTTATTAAGAGAATGACAACCCGGATTTATTCTGAAGAATGATATGTTGCGTACATTACCAACATGGATTAAACTCCCTAATCTACTGCTCCACCTTTGGGGGGAAAAGAGCCTCAGCCAGATTGGTAGCGCAATTGGGAACCCTGTTACAACCGACGAATGTACTGCACATAAGTTTCAAATCTCGTATACAAGACTGTTAGTCGAAGTGGATGTTACCCAAGCATTGGCGAAGGAAAACATTATTAATGATAGAAATGGTGCTAAATTCATTCAACCTATTGAATACGAGTGGAAACCTAAATTTCGTGAGCAATGTCAACGGTTTGGTCACATATGTGAGGCTCCAAAACCTGTCAAAGTATGGCAGCCAAACCAGAAACAACTGGTTGAACTTGTAAGAATTGATGATGCAGTATTGGTGATACCATCTATGGCTACTACTGAATCTAGTAGTACACCAACAGTTGACGGCACAAATTTAAACATACGGAGGAATGATAATCTTGCAGACTAGACTACAAGTACCAAAAGTGGAAGGGATAAACACAAGGGCACCCTAAAGGATAAAGTACTATTAAATTGTACCAATGGCTTTGGTCTTCTGAGGGATATGAATGTCTCAACAATGCTGGACGACGGTGATCCATGCTAGCAGCGTGGAATGTGCGGGGGCTTAACAACGCGGGCAAGCTTAGGGAGATTCGCTCCCGTCTCCTAGAACTTTGTCCAAAAATTATTGCGTTACTAGAAACTCGTGTCAAAGTGAAAAATGTACCTTCTGTCCGAAATAAACTCATGTTGCGGGGCAGCTTTGCAGACAACTACCAACATCACGCTAATGGCAGGGTATGGCTGTATTGGGATTCAAATGAAGTTGATATTAAAAGTGTTAAGTCTTCCAGTCAATTCATCTACAGTGGTATTCATGACCTGGCTGGGAATTTCTTATTTTGGTTAACTACTGTTTACGCCTTGAATAGACCAAAGCAACGTCGCGTATTATGGAATTATATTGTTGTCATTTACGCGCAGCAGCAAGGCCCTTGGGTTTTAATGGGTGACTTCGACAATGTTATCCATATCAATGACAGAATAGGTGGAAATGATGTGACAAAAACTGAATATATCGACATCTGCAGTATGATGGAAAACGTTGGCTTATTTGAGAAGGAAAGTAAAGGTAGCTATTATACATGGTCAAATAATCACACTGCAGGTACAATCTATTCTCACATTGATCATGTGCTTGCTAATGTTGAATGGCTCCAACAGAATACCGATATTACTCTCCATATGTTACCTCCAAGTGTGTCGGATCACTCGCTATTATTCTTGACAGGTAATGATCAGGTACACAAACGGTATAGAAAACCAATCTTCAGATTTTACAATTGTATTATGGATTTTGAAGGATATGGTGCACTGGTAGAGAATAATTGGAGCGTCCCAATCAAAGGCAATCCAATGTTTATCTTGTGGAATAAGCTTATGCGCTTACAACCGGCTCTGCGTAATTTTAGTAAACCAGCCCGGCATAATGACCAGCAACTTATTCAAGCTAGAAATAGATTAAACACGACGCAAACCTCCCTTGAGGCCGACCCGATGAATGCTACGATAATAACTCGAATTAAGAAGCAGAAAGTAGAGATTATAAAACTGCAAGAACTAGAGGAAAATATACTGAGACAGAAATCAAAACTTGATTGGCTTAAGTGGGGTGATGGCAACAACTCGTATTTCCACGCATCCGTAAAGGCCAAAAACAATTCAAAAAATATATCACAACTCATTAAAGAAGATGGCACAATACTGACAGTGCAGGCTGATATTGAAGATGAAGTCTTGGATTATTATAAGAATTTGTTAGGCACTGCTGATAGCACAGTTTGTCACATTGATGTCACCGCCATGAGAGATGGACCACAGCTGAACATGGAACAACGATATTACCTATTGGCACCTATAACAGAGAAGGAAATTCACACGGCACTTAAAGGCATTGGGGACTTAAAATCACCGGGAATTAATGGTTACAGAGCCTGTTTTTTCAAAGGTAGCTGGGAAACCATTCAATCTAATGTGGTAAATGCAGTACATGATTTTTTCCGCCATGAACGCTTATTTAAAGCCTTTAACAGTACTGTGGTGACGCTTATTCTGAAACATTGTGATGCTCAATCCATTAAAGACTATAGACCGATAGCAGGGTGTACTACTGTCTATAAAATAATCTCAAAAATACTTACTACAAGATTGGGTAAAGTTATTGGCGATGTTGTCCACCATTCGCAAGCTGCATTTGTGCCGGGCCAACAAATCCATAATCATATCCTATTAGCGTATGAACTGATTAAAGGGTATACCAGGAAAGGAGGCACACCTCGATGTATGCTTCAAATTGATCTTCAAAAAGCTTATGATATGGTAAATTGGGATGCTTTGGAGTGTATTATGAAGGAAATTGGAATTCCAAACCAATTTGTTAGATGGATAATGATTACTATCACTTCTGTTACTTATAAGTTCAACATCAACGGGTATCATACAAAAACTATCCAGGCGAAGCGGTGTATCAGGCAAGGGGACCTTATCTTCCCCCTATTATTTGTTATTATAATGGAATATCTCAACAGATGCTTTTGCAAAATGTAGAAGAATCCCAATTTCAACCATCACGCTAAATGTGAGAAGTTACATATTACTAATCTCTCTTTTGCAGATGATTTACTTATTTTTTCTAGAGGAGATTGTATGTCGGTGGAGCTGATTATGGAGGCTTTTAATGTTTTCACTGATTCCACTAGCCTCAAATTAAACCTGGCAAAATGCAAAATTTATTTTGGTGGGGTGGACGCGGATACAAAGCAGAACATCATTAACATTACTAATTTTCGGGAGGGTCCTTTCCCCTTCAGGTATTTGGGGGTCCCTCTAACCTCTAAAAAATTATCTATCCATCATTATATGTCGTTGATTAATAAGATTATGAGTAGAGTTAATCATTAGAGTGCTAAACTCCTAAGTTATGCAGGGTGTGTCCAACTTATAAAAAGTGTTACTTTTGCCATTGTGAACTATTGGATGCAATGTTTTCCTATCCCTAGATCTATTATTCATAAAATTAAAGCTATGTGTAGATTGTTCATGTGGACAAGTGAAGCTAATATTAGTAGGAAGAGCCTTATTGCTTGGGACAATGTTTGTAGACCTCTAAATTATGGAGGTCTGGGTATCATTGATCTTAAGATCTGGAATAAAATTACTATGGTTAAACTGCTCTGGAACCTTAGTAGTAAAACTGATAGCCTGTGGGTAAAATGGGTCCATAGTTATTATTTAAAGCATGAGGAGCTGATGAATGTCAGTATCAAACCCCACACCTCATGGATTATGAGGACCATCATAAAACAGAGAGATAGCTTGGTGGATATTCAACAGGTATGAGATCGCATGTTAACTAGCAATAAGTTTAAGATGAATGATGTTTATATGGTAATATGTAGTAGTGCCCCAAAAGTAATATGGAAGAACATACTCCGACGTAATGTTGCTCGACCAAGGGCTCTGATTACTATGTGGTTTGCGTGTCACGGAAGACTGGCTACAAAACAACGCCTTTTTCGATTTGATATGATTACCGGTGATAAATGTTATCTTTGTTCTAAAGAGGAGGAATCTATTAATCATCTGTTATTCTGTTGTCCTGAAACGGTGTGTATCTGGACCAAAATCCTAGATTGAATCCAGATTCCGCATGTCCCACGACCATGGGATGAAGAAATGGAATGGTTGTGCAGGAGTACGGAAGGTAGGGGATGGCGAGCATACATCCTAAAACTAGTTGTAACAGAAACTGTTTATGGTGTGTGGAAATACCGTAATGGCATTTGTTACGGTAATGTTATAGATAAGACAAAAATAGGTGATAATATTATAGATATGATTGTTTATAAGGGGTGGCATAACCATAAACTTAGGCCACACATTGCTCATTTGATGACTTATTAGTGTTCTTGATATTTTTCCTTTGGTCTTTGTGTCTGTTCTGAGGGCAGGATCCTCGCGAACGCCTTGTACTTATACTGTTTTTTGAATTAATTCAATCTTTTTTTGATTAAAAAAAAACAATAATAATAATAATAATAGTAGTTATTATTAAAAATATCCCTTTCTATCTTCAAAGGTTTAAAAGATAGTTTAAAAATAACAAATTCTAATTATTAACAATTTTGTTTACCATTTTAATAAATAATTTAAATAAAAAAACACAAGACATTGATATGCTTAAGAGACACTTAAAAAATATTTTTAGAAAAAGGAAATTTTAAAACTCCATAAGGGATATAATATATTTTTAGAAAAAGGAAATTTTAAAACTCCATAAGGGATACAAATATTATATATATGTAGCACAACCTTCTCATCATACACTATAAAAGGGTCAAATGATGTTATATTTATTGTATGTAAACAGAGAAAAATATGGCTAAAACTTGCACTTTTGTGTATGTTGTGATTTTATTTCTCTTTCTATTTCTAGTTGCAAGGAATGACGGTGGTGGCCGTAATTTATTTTCTTATCATTTTCAAATTTATTTCTATAAAGTTTTATCTTTTATAGCATGTTACTAATAATATTATTTTACTATGTCTTTTGTTACAGCACGACGACTAACTGCTTGTATAACACGTGCTGATTGTCCAGATAGTTCTGAGTTTCAGAAGTATATGTGTATTGAAAACAAATGTAAACTTATTAGATTGAAGTAAGTCACTCTAGTGTAAAATAAACTTGATGAAATAAAAAAGTTTCTAATTGAATTAAAATTGCCTTGTTAAGTTATACTTCTCTTAAATAGATACTCCAATGAATTCTACACCAAAGCGTATCTCCACAAAGCCTTCACAACCAACTTCATTGTTTTAATCTCTAAGTTTCACAATCTTTGAACTATCAAAAAATTTCGTTCTATCAATCTTATTACAATTGTTTACAAAGATTCTCTCCAAACTCTTATGAATACAAGCTATTCATAAGAGTTTTTAACCTTTTATGATGTAGGGTAACATGGATGTTGATTTACTCCGATTCAGGGATGACACTTTAATTATAGGTCAAGCAACATGGGATAACATTTGTGCAATAAAATCGGTGTTGTGAGGATTCAAGTTAGCTTATGCGCTTCACGTTAGTTTCCAAAAAAGAAATATATTAAGCTTCATCATTAACCCTGATATCCTGGTGGCATTATAACAAATAACTCTTTTTATGACAAAGCTTTCACCACGAATAATATAAAACCGAGAGTGTATGTAAAGGGAGCACCTTGTTTTATTTATTTTTTATTTTTTGAAAATTAATCTGTTACCTCGCTTTTATGAAAAACAGACATAAATATATGCTTAGGGTTTGAGATTCGATTCCAAACTCCTGCAGTTTTATATTTTATACATAACCAAAAAGGCGTTTTTAAATTTTTTATATATTTTACACCGGATATGTTACCTCGGCTTTCATTAAAACCAAGATACATACTCTTTAATCTTTTATTCCTTTTGGAACCAAAAAGGCGCCTTTATTTTTTTAAGAATTTTTTTGTTCTTTTTGGAACCAAAAAGGCACCTTTATTTTTATTCACTCAGTGTCTACTTCATTCACTTCTCGAGTTCTAGAAAAATAACACTTTTTCTCCAGCCAACGAAAGAACACTTATTCTCTAAAGAGCTCTAGCGAACAAAAAACTCTCTCACCATTATTCTCCGGTATGTTATTATTGTTGTTGTTCTTGCTGTTACTTTGGTCCATTATTGTTGTTCTTGTTATTCTCTTCATATTTTTTTTATTCTCTCAGTACCTGCCTCATTCACTTCTTGAGCCATAGCAAAAGAACACCTCTTCTCCAGCAAACAAAATAACACTTATTCTCCAAAGAGCCATAGCGAACGAAAACATTCTCTCACCATTATTCTTCGGTATATCATTATTGTTGTTGTTATTGTTGTTGCTGGTCCATTACTGTTGTTATTGTTGTTGCTGGTCCATTACTGTTGTTCTTGTTATTCTCCATTACTGTTTTTGTTGTTGAGATTTTTTTTTGTTGGTTGTGTGCTATTTTTATTTATTTTTTATTTATTCATTGATTAAAAGGAAAGAGTACAAGATTCTTTGATTACATAATTTTTTCCACATCAGAACAATATCCTCTAGTACTACACGACTCTTCTCAATCTATGACTCGCTCCTCAGTACCCTTATCTGAGTCGTAGTAAACAATATTCCTCGACACCTTTCTCCTCTTCTTATTAAGCATCTTCTTCTTATTTTTGGCCTTCCTCACCTTCAATGCATCCCTGACAGCAGTCGACCTAGATGGTTGGTCCTCCTCAGTTGACTAATGATGGTGTTATATAATGGTGATGGTTTTGTTCTCAACAGTGACTTCTGTTGAGATAATGCTCTTAACCTTCTCAGATAGAGAACTCATGTTGCTAGGAAGTTAAGAATAATAGGTTGAAGATGAGGAAATTCAGTATTTGAAAGTGTGCATTTATAGAAGAGGTTGTGTAACTCAAGCGCCGCTTATGAAAGATGAAACATATGGTGATTTAATGCTTGAAATGATTACTTCTGATGGTTGATATTCTTGAATGACGTGTGGACGTCTTTTGGAAAGAGCAAATGGCGTTCTTGTTTTTTTTTAATCAGAATTCAATTCTTCTCACAAAATTTTCATTTGCAAAGAGAGTAGTGCATCAGATCTTTGCAAATGGTTTCGCGCATGCCTAAGTTTTTTATGTCGCTGATCCTTCTAACACTAGATGGTCATTTGTTCTTCTAATGTAAACATCTTTCCGATAGTACTGATGAAAATTAAGATTTTAACTATAAGACGCCTTGTTTAGCAATACATATACGTCAAGCATCTAAAGAAAATGATTCAGATGATGTGCAGGTTATTCGTCATGATCATGAAGAGGGGATATAGCAAAATTAATAAATAAAAGTTTTATATCACTTTGGAATTTATAATTAATCATTTTACTCCTTTTTAATCATTGTACTATATATTTAAAGTTGTTGATTGACCTAATTAGTTTCAAATGTTTTAGTTTTGATGTAAAATTATAAAGTGTGTGTCTTTTTGGGTTTGCATTTGTTTTAATCAATGAATATTTATGGTACATTATTTCTGTCGTACCCCAAATTTTGATCACCATTTCTTTTCACTTTCCTCTAATTTAGGATTTAGATCACTTACACATCCAAAATCTCTACAAGTCATCTGGTCAATCTCAATGACCTAAAAAATCAAAGGATGATCATTTTGACTTTTTAGAAGTAATTGATCCCATCATAATCAATTGTTATTTTAGAGTATAATTTAATGTTTAGGATAATAGAATTGAAAATTAATTTTTAAGACTAATTTAATTAGAAAATTAGAATATGTCATTACCATTAATTCACATTATTCCTTTTAGTAGCTATTACCCTTAGTTAGAGATTATTATTAGTCATTAAAAATTAAATAGTTAAATTATATTATTATTAAGAAATAGGGTTTATTTGTCAATTGTTTAGGTAAGGCACAAAGTTTTAATTGTATATTATTTAGTTAATTTAATAATTAGAATTTTAATTTAAGAGGTTT